AGTCAGACCCACTGCTTTTATAACTCAATCAGGAAACACCAAACCAGTTTAAAAAATAAAATACTGATGTATCACAAACAGGAACAGCTGGCACAAAATTTGCTTTGACTTGAATTCAGTTTCTGGAGCCTTCAAGTCTTAAATGAAAGGTTGTCATGGCAGCCCTCACTGCAGTGGACGATCACTTTATAAGGTGCTAAAGTGAACCTTGAGTTCAGATTATCTTGTTAAAGCACATTGTCAGAAGTTAAGAAAGTGGCCAAAACCTCTGACAAAAACGTTTTGAATTTAGTTCAACTTTTAAATCTACTTTTTTCCCCACAGGAATAAAAGATGAAAATAAATTCTTTAGAACCAAAAAAGAAGAATGTGGATTTATGTGTGCTTTTCTGAACAAAATGTTCACCATCATCGAGTGGTTTCAATAAGAGAATTAAAGTATTTTATTGGTTTTTTTAGGACAATAATTTGAACCTAAAAGCAGTGGCGGATCTAGGATTTTTCCGAGTAAGGGCCCATCAAGGGGCCACAATATTCATACAGGGGCCAAGTCTTTGTTTAACATCCTTTCACACAAATCCCCAGTTTTGGTAAGGTGTAAACATTTAACCAGTCATACATGTTCAAACACTTATAATATAATATAATTTTAAAAAATAGGGTACCATTTTACAACAAGGCTCTCCTTATGGCTTTTAAAGAGTTTATAGATAGGTTACTAATTCATCTGTAAAGACTTTATAAATTATTAATAAGTGTTTATTATGAATTAATTAAGGTAAAAAAAAGAAACTAAACTGTCCGGTTACAAAATTAATATGTTAAAATACGTGTTTCTTCTTATTATTGTGCTTCCAATGTAGAAACCTGGTCTGAAATGTTTAATATAGCACCTTTAGATGTAATATGTACGTGAACAGATTTCTCTCATTATTTGGTAAGAAACTGGACAGTTTTGTCTTTTTTGTCATTAAATATTGCATTATAAACATTTATTATTGATTTATAAAGTGTTTACTGATGAATTAATAACCTATCTATAAACTCTTTATAAGCCATCTATAAGGGGAGCCTTGTGGTACCAAAAAAACTTGCACATTAAATTCTCCTCACCAGTTTTTCATACATTTTACTGTGCAAAGATAAACTATTCTCAAACACGTAACATGTGAGAAAATCCAGCCATCATTTGAAAGACTTTTTTTGCAGGATTGTTCACATTTTCTTAAGAAGAGAAGAAGAATTCTGTAAGCTTGATTCATTCTGGACTTTAATATTTGACTCATTAGCGCAACTAGTGTTTGAGCATGGAACTGCATGCACCATCATCACTCCCAGGTAAAGGATAGACGAGTGACAGGACAGGGGCACTTCAGAGGGCCAATCAGATTTCAGCTGGGGCCAATACCCCTGTGGCCCCGCCTCTAGAACCGCCCCTGCCTAAAAGCACCTTAAAACCTGCACATGATCAATTGGCTTTTCTGATTCGTGGACATAAACCTCCTGATGCATTTCAAAGCAGCAAAACATTATTTTTGTCAGTGCTGAGACTAAAATTAAGAGTCACGTGTGACGTTTCCAACATGCAGCTGATTTCACTCACGTGTTCTGGTCGTCGCCGTCTTGCGTGTCGTCGTTCTGCGGGTCGAGGGCTCCTGTCGAGCTGTTCAGGTTGGAGTCGGCCTCCGGTGATGTGTCCTCGATACCCGCAGCCGGTGGGTTGTTTTTATTCTGCAGGGCAGCGTTGCAGAAGGGAACGGGGCTCCCGTTGTAGCCTCGGATGAAGAAGGGGTTGATGGGGGAGTAGAGCGGGTAGTGGCCCGGACGCACAGGCTTGGCTGTGGGATAATAAAAAGATTAATGCACTGATTGAGCAATCCATGCAGAAAACTACAGAACTTTGTTTTTTTTTTCCTAAAGAATACAGCACCACATTGTAAACTAATGAAAAATAAAGTTTTAAATATGTCTGGAATAATAAAAACGTATTAGTTTACTGCACAGTGTCCCCATTCTTCTTAATTGCTATTGTAAAATCCACTAATGAAAACCATCATTTTCAAAACCCTCACATAAATCAATATCTTATTTTCTCATAGCTGCAGCATATGTGCCTCATTTCTTCAGTACAATTACCTTTGCTTGAACCAGTGATGATAGGAGATTAAAACGGATTACACTGCTTTTCTAAAAATTTACATTTCTCTCAAAAGAGTACGCAAACTCTCAAGTCTTTGCTCAAGAAATGTTTCACTAAACAGCTAAATCCCCTTCAAGTGCAAGTGTTTTCTCATCTAATTATTGCCACATCTCTCTGCAACCTTTACACAAAGCTACACAGCCCTGCTACTGAATTTATTTTACAGCTTGTACACATTTATGTATTTAAGGTGCTTCTGTTTTGCAAACACAGAGCAAGTCTAGCCATCAGTAAAATGTGCTGCAGCATGCTCATTTTAGAGGAACGGCTCTGTGATAGAGAAAGGAAGAGGATGGCAGATGAGTGGAGGTATAGCATCCAGGGGATGCAGTTTATGAAGGACATAAATGAGACGGTTGCATCAGGGGATGCGATTTCTCTCCCAGTCTGATGGAAAAGGGAGTGCAGCATCAGTTGTGAGGGAGATGAAACGCGAGAGGCTGACAAAACATCTACTGCAGGAAAAATAACACTTTGAATTTGATTGTAATTATCAGATCAGGAAGAAGCTCAGTTATATTCATACATTTGTCTAAAAATGTCTTCACTGGACACTGATTCTAAAAAGCACTACACATTATCATGTTTTATTGAGACATTTAGACTATCTTTTAACATCTAAATGCATAATTATACATATTTATGTACTGTGATTAAGCTGTGATTGATGGATGTTTGCTCTGTTCAGAACAGAATCTACTTTAAAAGAGATAAATTAGTTAATACAGCCCTTTCACTAAACAACACACACGTAGGTTTTCTCATCGGGTTGCAGAAGTGTTGTTGTAAGAGTCGGTCACTGGATAGAGAAGGCCTTATCACTGTGACGTTTTTGCCCCAGGATGGTGGCCGACCAGAAAAAATGGACAAATTTGATTTGATTCTTTACCAATATACTCCGAGACTGAATAATGGTTTGTATTTGGTCCAGTTGAAAACGTCCCGAGCCATCTCAGTAATCCAGGTAGAAAAATAAAAATATAAAATAAGTAAGTCCTCTGGACGGGTTCTTCTCATGAGTAATGTATATGTTGTTAAGTGTCAGGAGGACTGTGACCAGTTACACAAGAGGGAAACAAAGCAGCCGCTGTTCAAAAGAGTGGGCCAACATTGAAGAGTTACATCAACAGGCCAGGACTCTGCAGTTTACACTCATCTACAGGCCAGGGCTCTGCAGTTTACACTAATCTACAGGCCAGGGCTCA